CACCATCTTTAATCATTAGAGAGATGCAAATCAAAACTACTTTGAGATATCATCTAACTCCAGTAAGATTAGCCCATATCACAAAATCCCAAAACCAGAGTTGCTGGCGTGGATGTGGAGAAAAGGGAACTGCTGGTGAGAATGCAAACTAATATGTTCATTTTGGAAAGATGTCTGGAGAACACTTAGAGAACTAAAAATTGACCTGCCATTCGATCTTACAATTCCATTATTAGGTATATACCCAGAAGACCAAAACTCACATTACAATAAAGACATTTGTATCAGAATATTTATTGCAGCCCAATTCATAATTGCCAGGTCATGGAAGAAGCCCAAGTGTCCATCCATCCATGAATGGATCAATAAACTGAGGTATATGTACACCATGGAATACTATGCAGCCCTAAAGAAATATGGAGACTTCACCTCCTTCATGTTTACATGGATGGAACTGGAAAATGTTCTTCTTAGCAAAGTATAACAAAAATGGAAGAAAAAGTATCCAATGTACACATCCCTTTTATGAAACTAATTTATAGCTCTCAAATGAAAGCTACAACTTAATTCTAGCCTAAAAATATGGGGAGGGGGTGAGGGGGAGGGGAGAAGGGCTGTTGGAGGGTGACTGGAAAGATCACCTATATGGTCTGTCTAACAAAGGTACAAGTGAACTTTTCTAGAACTAGAGTATAAATGCTTTAACACAATAACTAAGTAAATGACACAAAGTCTATGTTAACCAGTGTGATGAAAATATTTCAAATTGTATATGAAAACACTACACTGTACCCCATGTTTGCATTAATGTATACAGCTATCATTTAATAAGAAACATGTTAAAGAAAATTTGATTTACATAATTTATACAAAGTGACTTTACCATAGGTGTTTTTGTTGAGAAATACATAACATATTAACTACAATTTTTACCTGGGGCAGGAACATCTTTTATAATTCTTCTGTGAATATCATATGAGTGAGCAGTGGCCTTGCCTCAGATTTTCTACCACTCAATTCCTGGGTGTCCTTTGTTCATTAGTGAGGAACCACCGAGCTCTACCTGCTTCTCTTTTCCTTTTTGGGATCCCCATTGTTACTTAGATTTCTACTCTTCCGAGTATGTAGCTTGCTGTTCTAAAGATGAGCTCACAAACCCGTCTCATTTTAAGGGTTTAGCTACTAATCATGATGGCAAAGCACCCAGAATTATAAATAAAAATCTCAGACATGAGGCTATTGCCAAGGCTTAGAAAAACTCATACGGTAGTTAGTTGTGAGTACCTGATTCCTTTACTGGATTCCTCTCTCACAAGTCTTTGCCCAGGACCCCCACCAGTATGGAACAGGGACTGAGATGTCTCCTTCGTATGCCGACAGGCTACAAGTCCCAGGCTGGTGGAGAGATCTTCCCAACTTAAGTCCCTCAAGTGTGGCTCGGGCTGACAGCTTACAGAGCACAGCGGTCCTCCGAGCAGCCTCTCACTAAGGCAGAGTGCTTTCGGGACTCTGGTCTAAGCATTCCCATTTCAAGGGGTTAAAACTCAGGTAGCTCCGGCACAGCATCACTGAGGAAATTCTTAGGTATAAACTTCCTCAGAGAAGGTATAGAGATTCTGGGGGACCAGCGTTAAGACCGAGGGGCGCTCTCAGGATGGGTGAGGAGGCAGAGAGCTTGGTTTGGTTTAGGGAAACAATTTCATGTTGAGGTTGGGGTGATGGGTGAACTGGCGTGTTGGCTGCAGGGTGTTGAGGTGAAGGGGCGGGGCATTGGGTGGAAGGGGGCGGGGCACGGGTGAGTGGGCTCCGTCCACCGTGTCCACCGCCTTCAGACCCCGAGCAGACCTTCCTGGGCAGGAAGTTCCCAGATGTCAGGAAAACAACCCTCAGCCCCCGCAGGGACCCCCAGGTTGGCCAGGCTGTGGGGGCTGGGGATGAGGAAGGAGCTCTGGGAGGAGTGTTGGGCTATCGTGCCCTTTCCCAGGGAGGAGGTGCCCGGACTTACTCACAGGGCGGGGCCCCAGGTGCCGTCAGCCTGAGTTTCTGTCGGTGCTGGGTGCTGTGGACGCAGCTGGCTCCGAGCCTCAAGAGGCCTTTGAGTCAAGCAGGCCTGATATGAATCTGGCTTTCCCCCTACTAGTTGCTCCTCAGAAGCAAGCCTGTCTGGGTGTAAGGACTGGACTCTGGTTAAAAGGTGTACAAGGTGAAGAAAGTTCTCCTGATCTCCTCTCTCGAACCCTTCCTCCAAATGAGAAAACTTTCTCTATTCTAAATTCCTCTAGAAGGGTTTGGTTCTACCATTTCTGGATCTTTCTTGGCAAACTTTGGGTTCTGGGGTTACCCCTGCCCAGTTTATTCCATGAATTCCTATTTATTATGACTCACTTGTCTCCTGCTCTAATAGTTCTGTCAGTATACATGACACAGCAATCTGAGCCAAGGTAGGGAAACCTTGGCTCCAGCCTATCCTGCCAGCTCAGTGTCTGCAGTTCAGGTGAGGGTGGGAGACACCAACCATCTGCTCTGCCTCTGGCAAGCTCAGTGGCTGGGCTCAAGCCTTCATACCTAAGGTGCAGGATGTGAGAAGGTTGGGGGAAGATTTGCCACATAGATATTCGGGGCTGAGTGACCTACGTGATTCAGTGACCAGGATTGATAGTGGCTTCCAGTGGCTTTGCAGGAGGCCAGCTCCTTTTCTGGGAGGCTGGCCTACCGGTCTTCAGTCTTGGCAAGTTAATCCTTACCTCTCATTTGGCTAATGAGGGAGGCCAAATACTTTCCCATATTTTCAGGTGCTTTCCTCATTTATGATGTGTTCATTTTATCTTCAGTGCAGTTCTCCTGAATTATTGAGATCCTAGATTTTTTTTTCTTTTGAGACAGAGCCTCACTATGTTGCCCTCAGTAGAGAGCTGTGGTGTCACAGCTCACAGCAACCTCTAACTCTTGGGCTTAAGCAATTCTCTTGCTTCAGCTTCCCAAGTACTGGGCCTATAGGCGCCAGTCACAATGCCCAGCTATTTTTTGTTGCAGTTGTCATTGTTGTTTGGTTGGCCCAGGCTGGGTTCAAACCTGCCAGCTCGGTGTATGTGGTTGGCGCTGTAACCACTGTGTTATGGGCACCCAGATGATCCTGGATGTTTTTATTGCTAAGTGCTTGCTTGTCCTGATCCAGGAAGCTTTTATATACTCAAGTCTTAACCTGTGATTTAAAAACATTTTCTCTCTGGAGACAACTGATTATAGTACAAAACTCCTGGAGGGCAATGATCTGTCCCATTTGATCTCAATCCTCCCTCTATAATTTCTCAATAGGATAATTAGGAAGAAAGTTGGTGTTTTTGGTTGGTAGCTCAGGGAGTTGGTATTTCATCTTGATCCAGCATGGGGTAAGCAATTCATTTCTGCCTGAAAGAGCAGAGAAGATTCCTGGAACTGGAAAGGATATTCTGATCCTGCAGCTTAACCTCCTGGGCTCACACTGACAGTCTCCACTGTCAGAAGAAACTCAGGTTGGGAAGTTCCCAGCAGAGGCCTTTGAGTCAAGCAGGCCTGGTATGAATCTGGCTTTCCTCCTACTGGTTGGGAAATTTTGGGCAAGTGACTTAAACTCTCTGGGGTTTAAACTCCACTTTCCTTCAGTGGAAACTTTGTGGTTCAGTAGGTAACTTTGAAACCATCTCCTGAAATGTCTGTGGGGTCCTCAGCAAATACCTTGAACATGAAATGTGATCAGTAAGTGGTAACTGTTGTTACTGTTATTTTTGTTCAAGGAAAGCCTTACTGAGCATCCCTCAGGGAGTTTTGTAGAGTAGGGGCTGAGTTGGATGACTTTACATACCCTCTGATTTTCAAAGAGTGCAGAAAATGAAGCCCAAATCTACCTCTGTTTTGTAGTTCATTTCACCTGAGCCTCAGTGTTCTTATCTATAAAGATGGGGTTCAAAACATTTATCCCATATGAATTTTGTGAGGATTCAATGTAATATTGAAGCACTAAATGTGAAAATATCTGCATTGGTTTTATTACTAACAACAAATCATGGGTTTTAGAAATTGTTATTCTTCACTCTGGAAGGCCTAAGATTAGGCCCTAGGCTCCTATGAGGAAAAGGAGCTCCCCAGGGCAATAGCATTTGGGTGGGGAGTAGGGTGGCTAGACACAGGCATGAATGTCCTCACAGTTACCAGGCGCCCGATGGTCTCAGGTGGTGGGAAGCACCTGCAGGTGCTGCCCTCAGGAGGCCACAGGGTGGTTGGTGGTGGGGACACAGAGGCACCAGGTAGCAGGTGGGTGTGTCATTCACAGAGTTAACTCCTCTGCGCTAACTGTCAGTGTCTCTCCCAGGGCTGCCGTCCATCATCTCCTGCTCAGTGTCTCGGGATCACATGAAGATGCCACCGTGGTTTCTTATCTTCTCTGCTGTGGGTCTCCAGGCCTGGGGTGAGCTTTCTTTCATTGGTGCTTGTGGCAAGCACCAGATGACTGTTGTCAGGTTTAGTAACAGCCCGGGGTTTGCAGCTTTGTAATATGGGGCACTGTTGTGGAGCCCAAATGTCCCTTCCAATCCTTATCTGCCATTTTTTATGATCCTCAACAGGTTATTAAATTTGTTTGAGTTTTACTTGCTTCCGGGATGTAAGGATTTATATCACGCTTGTTTCTGCTCATTTCTTAGAGTTGTTTTGAGGATTGAGTTAGAAGACAGGCATGAGCCATTTAGCACAATGTTCAAGTAATAAGTGCAAGATGTGATTTAATTATAATCACTATCATTATTATGCCAGTCATAATGAATTTACTCCCAGTTAAAGTCATAACTTGGGTTTACATTTGTAAATAAAAGCAATTTCTTGAGAGTAGCAATGCCCTTTTTCTACATTAAGAAGATTTCTTATAGTTTCATACCTAGGATTAGACACAAAACAAATGGTTAATAAAAAACTGCTGTTGAATTAAAATGGAAGTGGGTTTGGTGATTCTTAGATACAGGATGTGTTTTTCATGTTGTCATGCATGCATAGACACTGTGCTGAAGGGATGATGGGGTAATACATCCCTCTCTCTGCCTTCTGCTACTTAGATAGCTAATTTAAAGGGATTACTTGGAGCTAGTGTTAGAGAAACCCAAAGACCAGGGAAAGTATAGTGTGGCCCCTAATTTTATGAAAGGGGAAACTGAGGCCCGGATGGGGAAGCAGTTTGCCCAGGTGAAGCAGCAAGTCACCTTTGGTCATCATCTGGCTGTCCTGGTTCTTGCCTTCCACCTGTCCTGTCCAGACATTTTTCCACTCTGAGGGTCCTGTGGTTTATTTCTAAGTTGTGCTCTCCAGCCCTCTCCACACCACTTCCCATGAGACAGGTTTCTGGCCTTGGGAGTCTCTCCTGTTGCCCAACACATCTATGCCTCAATCCTGGGCATGAAATTTCTGTTGATTTCACAGAAGGACAGAAACTCAGAACCATGGTGGAGGCTCTAAGTGACTTTGAAACAGCCTATATGTGGCAGTGATTTGAGCAAGTTCATCTGACACTTTTAGGGAGGCTGCAACGTGTGGTTATGAACAGGGCTCAGGAGCAGAGGTCTGGTTGGAGTCCAAGTGCACTGCATAACAGCTATACTGTGACAGACAAGGAACTCAGCCACTCCAAGGCCCAGTGTCCCAGCTGTCCATGCTTTGCCTATCTTGTAAAGTTGTTTTAATCCTTGATTCTGACTGCATCCTTGAACATGCTCTGAAGATCACAGCTCTGGCACATGGCAGGTGGTGCTGGTGACAGTGCTACTGTTGCCAGTGGTCACTACTCCCAGGATCTTGCTACTAACCAGTACTGGTGGGGGTGAGGGCATGCTGGTGATGCCTAAAGATCGATACAGCGTCTTTAAAATATCTAGATTTTGAGGGCTGTCACAATGATCTGTATATTTCTGTTTCAAGAACATTGCCTGGTACCAAGAGGTGCTTATGACATATGTAAGTGTTAGCTTGAAAAAATGACATCTTGGTACATGGCACTCTGATGGATACCCACAGATTTGTTAATCTATCTGCAGGTGAGTCAGGTTTAAGCCAAAGGTGAGGCTGCAGTACTCCTAGAACAGAGGGAGGATGGGGGTGTGGGAGGATGAAAGCCTCTTTGGGGCAGACATGGGAGGTAGAGGCAGGTCAAGGTCAGAGATGCCTGTGGCTCTCCACTGTGTGCTTCCTAGGGGACATGAGGGGGTCTGGGGAGGCTGGGAGGCTGAGAGACTATGGATTGTGGAGTGAGATATCTGGCCAATGCCTTTGAGCATGCCGGCCAACAGTCCTGAAGACCAGTGCTTTTGCTCCTTTATGGGAGTCTCCACAGTTCTCCTGGAATGAAACCCAAGTCAGGGGTCTCTCTGAGAGGCTATGGAACTGGTTGGCTCTCTGAGAGGACCGAAAATGTGAGGTTGTTCCAAGATATGAGTAAAAGGAAGAGAGTTCAGGTTCTGTGTGGGCCAAGTGGCCTTCATTCACTGGGATGCGAGCAGGCTGAGTTGGAAAAAGATGTCAGCATGTGGGTTAAGGTGGGGTGGGAATAGAAGAGTTCAGGGGTAGGGATTGGTGCACTCATTCCTTCCAGGGCAGGACTTCTGTCCTGGGTTGGTTGATTCTATTTGCGCGGGTCCCTACCTTTGGCACTGTCAATCTCCTGTTCATTCACAAGAGTGCTATAGTGAGGAGGTTTGGGGGGCTGGCGGGATTTCTAAAGGGCACAGAAATGTTTGCAGGATTGTGTATGTCTTCGCTGAGAGTGAGTGGGTAGGGTGGAACCACAAGAGGGTCCTCTGCCAGGTATTCCCATGTATTGTCCTAAAATGGGTTCCTTTGCCTAATGACAGAAAAAGAAGAAGAAAAAACCCTGGCAAAGGAAGAGAAAACCTAGGGACAAAAGCCTGTCCTCTATTCCCTGCCCCCAGTGTGAGAGCCCTGAGGGCACCAAAGTGGGGACAGAGAAAGGGAGCCTCAGGGGCCTGCAGTTCTGTGGGGGATCTCATGGCCCTGCCCCTAGTAGGTTTTCTTCTGGAGGAGAGAGACATAGACATGCACCTCATGTTCTTGGGACTTCCTGTGGGCTTGGAGCAGCTAGTTGAGGAGTGGGATAGCTCCCTTCAGAGAGTCTGGTCCTGGCCTGGTTCTGAGGGGAGGTGTGGCAAATGCTGAGAAGGGGCTTGCCCTAAGGCATCCACTGAGGGGCCTCAGGGGAAGGCCACTCAGAGCCTCGGGTGGGGCCTGGGTGTCAGCAGTGGTGGCAGGGGATGTTTCTGGAGGGGAGTTTGAGGCAAGCCAGAGAGGAGCTGGGGACAGATTTGTCCCTGGGGAAATGCAAGGAGAGGTCATCTGGGACCAAGGTGGCTGACTCCTCAGGCTGAGCCCAACATTTACCTGGTGGCTGTTGGGTCAGAGGGGCTGTGCAGGGCCAAGGCAGGAGAAGACTAGGTCTTGTGGACAGCCCATGGGGGGCATGGGTAGCCTGCCACGTGACATCCCCCATATCCCCTGCAGGTGCCCCTGCCGTTGTCTCCTGCAAGGCACAGGGGCCTAGACTGTTCACCTGCAGCACCTGGCTAACCCTGCCTGTGACCTACATCATCACAGAGCAGGTTGTGGGGATGGAGTACCAGGAGCAGAGTTCTTGCAGCCAGATGCTGCGGGGCCTGCAGTCCCATTCTGTCTACTCCAGAGGCTGGTACGATGTGGCCTACAAATAAGTGGTGGGCAGCTCCCCACGCCCACATCCCCTGCCCACGTCCACCCTTCCGCGTCCACAGGATGCCTTTTTCCTGTAGGCCACATTGCACCTCTCGAGGTGCTTCCCACTTCTCTCTGTTTCTCAGACTCTCTAGGCTTCATTGATGTTGCTTTTATAATGAATAAAAAATGTTAAAAGAGAAATCAAACAAAATGCAAATTATCTGGGGGTCATTAGGAGGAAGAATTCTGAGCCGTTTATCTGATCCAGTGGGAACTTCCATGAGGATGGAAAGTTGTGTCATCCCTGCAGTCACCCCCTTAGAACTTACCAGACATTATAGTTTATACAACCCCTCGCGGATATTACTCAGTTAAGCCTTTCCAGATACTCTAAGGAATGGATAAGAGAAATATTACCATTCTATTTCACAGGTAAGAAAGCCATGGTGCAGGTAAGTTAAAGGATTTGCTCCAAGTCACACAAGCTAGGGAGTGTGGAGCTGAGCTACGTCAGGAATGCCGGTTAGCCCATCCCCAGCTCCTGTTCCCTACGTAGGCAGGATTTACCCGCTGTGGCAGTTTTTCACTTGTTACTCTGAAAGGTCACCCTGACAAGAAGGCTGGGAAGAGCAGGCACTGGGAATGGCGGAGAGGAGGGCCCGATGCTAACACAGGTGGGAGACATGAAAGATCATTACCATGTGCAGTGAGCACCTATTCAGAGGGCAGTTGGTGGAGGCCCCGGAGCTTTTTTCATTTGGCCTCAAGGATAATATATAGTTACCTTCAAAGTACTCCCTTTGGGAAGCTATGCAGTGATATCAGTGCTTAGTTGACCCTTTAAATCAATTTTGGAATTCTTTTTCTGGGTTACCATTAGAGCTGTCATTATATGAAGTCTGACAATTAATATTGTGACTTATCCTAGGAAAAGTGCTACATACCTCATTGCTGAATATCACTAGTGTCACCTTTGAAGTATTCTCTTTGGTAATCTGATGACCATTGTGATATTTAGCAATGAGGTATATAGCACTTTTTAAAGAATGAGTTTGTGAACTTAATTGTCAGACCTCTATACATGTAGAAGGTGAGTGAAAGCGAGAGTGGGGCTTTTCTCTGCAAGATCCTAAAGGTAAACGTAAATCATTTCTGAAATCATCCATTTTGGAAAGGATAATCTATGTCTTCTTATTTATTTTTAAATACACATGAGTCAGAGCAGCTGGCAGCCTGGTGTGGTGGCCCCATGGCCCTAAGGTGGCTGGGTCCCCCTTGCTCACCCTCTGTGGGTGCTATTATCAGCCAAGATTCTTCTGTTGTCCCTGCCACTGGTGCCTCTATCACCCACTGCTGTCCCCACTGTGTTGTCTGCTTTAGTTACGGTATTTCTCAGTTATTTTAGCCCCTGCATCTTTAAGTCAGGTTTCTGTGGTGACAACTTAACAGTGTCCAGTTTTCACAGTGCAGGTGTCTGTGGTCATGGTGGGTTGTTCACTGGATGAACCAAAGGCTGCTGCAGGAGTGGCTTGGGGAACCTGCTGGAAACACTGACAGTGAAGCTGGGAGACCATGTGCATGGGCAGTCCCAATCTGACCTTAGGCCCATGTCAGATGGCCGCCTGACCAGCTCAGGGTCTTGGTTTGGCCTCAGGGAACTCTTCTTTCTGTGTTTAGTTTACTGTAGAAACTCATGATCTACTAAAAGCTGAAAATGGAAAGAGCTGTGAAAACATCAGTTCTGAAGACTGTGATTGGAAAGTGGAGGGTGAGAAATTATAAAGAGGCAGAAATAAAAGATGACAAATCTTTTAAAGGATGTTCATATGCTTGGCCCTGTAGTTTAAAACATGATGAATTAATTCTCAAGCCCCTAAAAAACACTTAACTAATGTGACTCCTTTGAGATTCACACATTCTAATGGTACTTTCAATCAGATGAGTATTTATTTATTTATTTTTTGTTGTTGGGGATTCATTGAGGGTACAAAGAACCAGGTATTAAGAACCTGTAATGAACCAGGTTACAGTGGTTGCATTTGTTAGGTAAAGTCCCTCTTATAATTGTGTCCCACCCCAAAAGGTGTGTCACACATCATCACTCACCCCCCACTCCCCTCTCTTCTTCCCTCTCTCTGCTCTTCCCTTTCCCCCACCTCCCTTTCCTCTTTCTGTTCTCCCCTTCCCTCACCCCCCCACTGTGCACTAGGTCATCAACTGTTCACCATTCTTGTGATGCTTTACTAAGAATAGTGTGTTCCACTTCCATCCGGGTTAATACAAAGGATGTAAAGTCTCCATCTTTTTAAATGGCTGAATAGTATTTGGTGGGGTACATATGCCACAGCTTGTCAGTCCATTCCTGGGTTGGTGGGCATTTAGGCTGTTTCCACATTTTGGCAATTGTAAACTGAGCTGCGATAAACAGTCTAGTGCAAGTGTCTTTAAGGCAAAAGGATTTTTTTCCTTCTGGGTAGATGCCCAGTAATGGGATTGCAGGATCAAATGGGAGGTCTAGATTGAGTTCTTTGAGGGTTCTCCATACTTCCTTCCAAAAAGGTTGTATTAGTTTGCAGTCCCATCAGCAGTGTAAAAGTGTTCCCTTCTCTCCACATCTACACCAGCATCTGCAGATCCAGTTTCAGTCTTTTACATGTGGATATCCATTTCTCCCAGCACCATTTATTGAATAGGGATTCTACAAAAGAGGTGAAGGACCTCTATAAAGAGAATTATGACACCCTAAGAAAATAAACAGCAGAGGATATTAACAAATGGAAGAACATACCATGCTCATGGCTGGGAAGAATCAACATTGTTAAAATGTCTATACTTCCCCAAAACAATCTACAGATTCAATGCTGTTCCTATTAAAATACCAACATCATACTTTCAAGACTTGGAAAAAGTAATTCTTTGTTTTGTGTAGAACCAGAAAAAAACCTGTGTAGCTAAGGCAGTTCTTAGTAATAAAAACAAAGCTGGGGGCATCAGGATATCAGATTTTAGGCTGTACTACTAAGCCACAGTGGTAAAGACAGCATGGTACTGGCACAAAAATAGAGACATAGACATTTGGAATCAAATAGAAAACCAGGAAATGAAACTAACATCTTATAGCCACCTAATCTTTGATAAACCAAATAAGAACATACATTCAGATGAGTATTTTTAAAGTGAGCTTTTGGAAAACACAAGTGAGCTAAGTCACAGTGAAAATTCGAATGTGCTGCCATGTCTCTTAGTGGTCGGAAGCCAGTTATTTTGCCCCTCCACTGCTGTATCACTGAAGCATGGTACCTACTCACAAGTCTCTAGAACCCTTTTTCCTTCTGAGGATCATTGAGAGGTTTTTCCATTAAGGGTGTTTGGCATTAAACCTGTATTTCCTTGCTTGACAGCTTCCTGGTTGGGGACAATGGCAGGGTGTACGAAGGTGTTGGCTGGGACATCCAAGGCCTGCACACCCAGGACTACAACAGTGTCTCACTGGGCATTGCCTTCTTTGGCAATAAGATGGGTAATGGCTGTTCCCCACTGACCCTTTGCCAAAGCGCTGTCTACACTGCCTTCTGAAACTCCCTGTCTCAGCACTCTTGTCTTGTCAGCCTGCTTCACGCTTGTCTTCTCTTGTTATTGTCCATTTCCTGAATTGTTGTCTCTCCAGCTTCTGTCCTCTTCTGCTTTGTCTGATCTGCACTCCTGTGATACTGTGAAGCCATCACTTCTGGAGCTTGAAGTTGTCTGACACTGGTGCTGTGACTGCCAGAGGCAGGAAAGTGTTGCTTATCTCTTCTTCCAGTGTGTTTCACTGGGAGAAACTGACCAGAAGCCTGCAGGCACAGAAGTCACACAGACATAGTTTGCAGGCTTCTAGCCCCTAGAGGAGCAGAGGCAAGCACAGAGCAGGGTGGAGTGGAGAAATAGTAGATAAATAACTGTACCTTCTGGTCTCCTTACCTGACAGGTGGGACCAGTAATAGCTTTTATCTCAGAGGTTTTTGGTGAGAATTGTGAGTTAGTAGTGGATATAAAGAGCTCATTGCATGCCTGACTTTTCAGATGGGACTTCTTTGTATGTGTCTTTTTTTGCCTTCCAGCCCTTCCACCTATACATGGAGTGGATAAATAAAACTAAGTCTAATGATGGGAAGAGTGGCCAACCTTGGCTGCCAATAGCTTTGTTCAAGTAGTCTCTTATATCTTAGACTCCTGTCCTGGCTACTGGACCAGTTTCCTCCCTCCCATTCATCCCTTCAAGTGTGGATGGTCTAATTATCCTCCCTCAGTGTCTAGTCCAGCTTGAAGTTTCTTACTGACAGTCCTGTGCTCCGTGTCATGCTCTTTAAGGCAGCAGTCCCAGCCCGACTGCCTTGTCAGCTGCAGAGGGCCTTATCTCCTGTGCCATCCAGAAGGGTCACCTGTCACTGAGGTATATTTGGCCACTTCTTCTGAAAGAAGAGAGCTTCCTGGACCCTCAATATCCAGTGATGCCCAGGAAAGGTAAGGACATGATCCATCTCACCCTTCTCCCCCACCCAACCACACTTTGGAACTCTCTTTGCTGTTGGGTTCTCAGTGGACTCTTGGGTCAAGAATATCTCATACCTAACATAACTTTGAGATCTGGAAAATTCTGAGAGGACACTATCCTGGCCTCCTCTACATCCCACTGGAATGATATAGCCACGCCATTCTTAAAACAAATATGCACATGTATTTTCACTCAGTCAATAAATACTTGCTGAATAGCAGACACTCTTCTAAGTACTGGGCACTTTTCTGATCTGCGAACAAAACAGATGAAAGTCTTCAGCATCAGACAGCTCTCATGTCACTGAGCAAAGACAGAGGAACATGAGCAAACAAGATAGACTTGATGTTAGATGGCAGGAAGGCTATGGAGGAAACCAGAGCAGGGGAGTGGAGTGGAGTACAATTACCTGCGTATCTGAGGACACATAGAGTACATGCCTTTCTAAATGCAAAACCAGCCAGCCTGCAGCATGGCCCCAGGGCTGAGGAAACTTGAATTCACAGATTATGTTGACATCAGGGTGAATAACTACAAAGCTGAGGAATAAAAATGATGCACTATTTTGAAATAAATAATCTGTGACTTAAAACTGGTAAAATTAATAAGCAAGCCTTTTCTTGAACTTAATGATATTTTTAAATTAGTTTTTTAAAATTATAAATCTCTAAATAAAGTTGATTTCTTATTTTGTACAGGTACTATCTGCAATAATGATAATTCCTTAATATTTGCAGAGTTCTTTATAGATTTTGAATCATTTCCAAGTACCTCTGACCATCTCAGAGGCCAACATCTGTTGTGTTGGCCTCATTACCTAAGTGCGCACACCTGTAGGTACTGTGATGTAGGTGTAAGCATGCCCACATACTTTGTCTGAGGAGGAAAATGATCAGCAGTCCTTTCCTTTCTGTGTACACACTGGCTTCTGCAGTTATTAGAGCTGTAGATCTGTGCCCCTGCCCCTTGGGTCTAGCCACTTGACCCAGACAATCTCCTTCCAGGGTTTCCCAGAATACTACAGCCAAGCTTGTACTGGGTTGTGCCCTGGGTGCTGAAGGCTGGGTTGTGAGTCATGCACAAGGGGGCCAAGGCAAATTCCCATTTTCTTGGTTTTCGACCTCACCACAGTTTGCCCCAACATTGTCCCACGATCTGCTTGGGAAGCCAGAGAGACACATTGTCCTGAAATGAACCTTCCAGCCAAATATGTCATTATCATTCACACATCTCAGACCAGCTGCAACATATCCATGGACTGCTGGACTCTCATCCAGAACATCCAGTCCTTTCACATGGACACATGGGGATTTTGTGACATTGGATATCAGTAAGTGGGACCCTCCTTTTCTTTTTCTTTTCTTTTTTTAAATTTCAGGTTAATAAAAGGGTACATAGGATTAGGTTACATTGTTTGAATTTGTTTGGTGGCATCTGAGTTGTAGCTGAGTCCTTCGCCCAGGAGGTGTGCCATATATCCCACGTTGTGTCCCTTAGGTGGGAGCTTATTGAGTCACCTCCCCCCTTCTTGAATTTAATGTGTTTTTCTATTGTGTGGACCTGTAGTTATTCATCTATTAGTTTCAAATTAGTATTGGGTACATGGGGTGCTTACTTTTCCTTTTTTCTGGTGGGGGGACAGAGTCTCACTCTGTCACCTAGTCTAGAGTGCTGTGGTGTCATAACTCACAGTAACCTCAAACTCCTAGACTCAAGTAATCTTCTTACCTCAGCCTCCCAAGTAGCTGGGACTACAGGCGCTCACCCCCACCCCCCAACAACACCCAGCTAATGCTTTCCCATTCTTGAGATACTAAGGTGAATGTTCTTCAACTCCACAGAGGTAAATACAAAAGCTGTAAAGTCTCTATCTTTTTCATGGCTGAATAGTATTCCATGGTATACATATACCATAGTTTAGTAATCTATCCATGGGTTGATGGGCAGTTGAGTTGTTTCCACATCTTTGTGATTATGAACTGAGCAGCTATATACATTAGAGTGCAAATGTCCTTATGATAAAATGATTGGTTTTCTTCTGGGTAGATTACTAGTAATGGGAGTGAGGGATCAAATGGAAGATCTACTTTTAGCTCTTTGAAGATTCTCCATACTTTTTTCTAAAGAGGCTGTATTAATTTGCAATTCCACCCACAGTATGTAAGTGTTCCTCTCTCTCTACACCCTTGCCAGTGTCTACAGCATTAGGGACCTTGTGATGTGGGCTATTCTCACCTGAGTTATGTGATAGCTCAAGGTGGTTTTGATTTGCATTTCTCTGATGACTAAGAATGATGAGCGTCTTTTTGTCATCCCCCCCCCCCCCATTTGTTTGTCTTCTTGGGAAAAGGTCTCTGTTCATGTCTTTTACCCAGTGATTAATTGGGTTGTTTGCTCCTTTTTTGTTGATTTTGTTGATTTGTTTGAGTTCTTTGTGGATTCTGGTTATTAGCTCTTTGTCAGATTCATAACATGTGAATGTCTTCTCCCATTCTGAAGATTGTCTGTTTGCTTTGTTTACTGTGTCCTTAGCTGTGCAAAAGCTTTTTACCTTGATCAAGTCCCATTTATTTCTGTTTGTGTTGCAATTGCCAATAGGGTCTTCTTCATAAACTCTTTCTCCAGGGCATTATAGTTAGGAGTTTTCCTGACACTGTCTTCTAGAGTTTTTATAGTTTCCTGTCTTAGATTTAAATCTTTCATCCAGGAAAGAGTCCTTTTTGTAAGTGATGAGAGGTGTGAGTCCAGTTTCAGTCTTCTACATGTGGCTACCAGTTTTCCCAGCACCATTTATTACATAGGAATTGTTTTCCCTCATGCATGCTCTTGTTTAGTTTTATTGAAGATCAGATGAAATAAGGCTGGTTTCATTTGTATGTTCTATGTTCTGTTCCATAGATCTATGCTTCTATTTTTATGCCAATACCATTCTGTTTTGATCACCATAGACTTGCAGTATAACCTGAAGTCTGGTAATATGATGCCCTCAGATTTGTTTTTATTTCTTAGAATTGCATTGATTATTTGGTTTTTTTCCTGATTCCATATGAAGTGAAGAACTATTTTTTCAAGTTTTTCAAAGAATGATGGTGTTTTGGGGATTCTGGGAAGATGGCCGACTGGTAGCAACCCTGGTCAGAGGCTCCTGAACAAAGGAAGAAAAACTGGTTGGAATCAGAATCTATGAAGTCAAAGACGGGGAGCTGAG